GAAAGCAGGCTGAGCAAGCCATGGGGATCAAGCCAGTAAGCAGCACCCCAGCAAAGGCTGAGGAGTCCGGAAGAGGGCATCAGATTCCCTGGAACTGGAGCTACCTATGGCTGTGAGGCACCATATGAGAGCTGGAAACTGAAACAAGGTTCCCTGCAAGGACAGTAGGTGTTCTTTACCACATAGTCATCTCTCTAGCCTAATTTTCTCAGAGAAAAAACACAACAACAACAACAAAAAAACCCTTCCAACTCCTCTGGATTGTTTTGTCTGAACTCCAGGGGTGGAGGACATGCCTAGAGCTAGCAATGTCTCCGGCATTCCACAAGTGACTCTATCAGACCTTCTTTTGAGAACACTACAACCACAAGCCACACCCGATTCTGAGAGGGACCTCCCAGCTCTTCAGATGTAGGGATTTTATGAGAACCTGCTCAGCTGTTTGTCCCTTCCATCTGGCCTGCTCAGCAGATTCAGTCTTCAGGGTTTTTTTGTTTTTTTTTTTGTTTTTTTTTTTGTTACTGTTCTCTTCCTTTTCCACCACCCAGAATTCTCAGGCATCCAGCTCTCTTTGACAGCTTTCATAATCTTGTTCTGGATTTAAATAAACCTTTTGACCACCTGAGCAGCTGGGCCATGATTCTGGCCACAGCAAACACGCACTTTCTTGCCTGAGCAATGGATTCCTAAATTTGAAAGTTATATCCTTTTAATTTTCGGAAAGTTGTTCCTCCAATGCCTCTGAATTCCCATGGTACATTTTGTTAAGATGTCGTTTGATGCTTCCAAGAACTTGCTTTCAGTAGCTGTTAGAAGAGAGACCCAGGGCTTGTCTGTTTGCATTTGCTGGTTTCTGAGCCCACACTACAGGAACCTTAAGGCCCAGGAATTCTTTGTCAATCAACAGTAGATAACAGTGCTTCCCAGACTCCCAAAATCAACCAGAGCTTAAAAGTAAGACTCTCATAGGGCAGGAGTCTTTATGAATTGTGTATGTGTATGTGCAGGGTATCTGTGTGTACTGTATGTGTGCGTGTGTGAGAGCACACATGCCTTTGTGTCCCATGGAGGCCAGAGGAGGGTGCCTGATGCCTGCTCTACCACTTTCTGCCTTATTCCTTTGAGACAGGGCTTCTCAACCTGGAGCAGGGCCGGTGGCCAGCATCCCCTGTGATCCTCCCGTCTCTGCCTCCCACCCCTGTACATGGCAACACTCACCTCCTTACATGAGTACTGGGGATTCCAATGAGGTCCCTATGTTTGCTCATCAAGTGCTCTTACCCTCTGAGCCGTCTTCCCAGGCCCTCACCTTCAATCTTTTACATGTTCAGATTAATAGTGACTGAATTATCTGGGGTGTTATATATGTTCTTAGCATGTATTTTTCTCTAAGAGGGGGATTTATTTAGGTTCTTTTTAAAAGATTTTATTTATTTATTAAGTATACAACATTCTGCTTCCATGTATATGTGCACACCAGAAGAGGGCAACAGATCTCATAGTGGATGGTTGTGAGCCACCACATGGTTGCTGGGAATTGAACTCAGGACCCCTGGAAGAGCAGTCGGTGCTCTTAACTTCTGAGCCACCTCTCCAGCCCTTTTTTTTTTTTTTTCTCTGAGACAATAGGGTTTCTCTGTGGCTTTGGAGGCTGTCCTGGAACTAGCTCTTGTAGACCAGGGTGTTCTTGAACTCAGAGATCTGCCTCCCAAGTACTGGGATTAAAGACATATGCCACCAATGCCCAGCCTTTTTTGTTTTTTTCGAGACAGGGTTTCTCTGTGTAGCTTTGGAGCCTATCCTGGCACTTGCTCTGGAGACCAGGCTGGCCTCGAACTCACAGAGATCCGCCTGCCTCAGCCTCCCGAGTGCTGGGATTAAAGGCGTGCACCACCAATGCCCTTATTTAGGTTTTAAAAATCATTTTACAGTTTATAGATCCTACTTCTTCTATGTTGGATTCTAAGTGGTGGGCTGTCAAATTGCTGAAGCTTGGGGGGGGGGCGAGGAATTGCTTTTCCGTTTTCCTAGGGCTCCACACACAGGGGAGTGTAGGGAGACACCCTAGCCCTGCCCAATAGTCCTGGGACAGGTACCAGGTGGACCCGGGACTCGACCATAAGGGCGTGGTGAAGGAAAGCCAGGGTGACGTAAGGGAAGCTTCTTAAAGGCTGCATGTGGAGACCCTAGCCCCTTCTTTCTGACCTCGCTCTGGCCTGCGTCTTGCCCTGGTGCTTTCTTGAATAAAGAAATCTTACCATCATGGACTAATTCATCCTTGAGCGTACGCTGCAACCATTAATCTTCAGGGGAGTGTTCTGGAGTCAACTTCTGGAACATAGCAGGGGAGTGAACATTTTCATTCCAGGTTGTTACAGTCCTGGGTCCCTGGGGTCACTCTGCCAATGGTAGAACTTCCATATAACCCAGGTGGGAGGGATAATTTATGTCATTTCCTCTACAGATAAAATATAGGTCTTTCAATGCTGTGAGAACAGTTTTGTTCAGTTCATGGGAAATTACATTGGCATGTGACCCAGAACTATCTGTGGAATAATTTTCAGCATTACCTACAAAGACATTTAGCACATCAAAGTGGAAAACTGCTCTTGCAACCTTGGAATGTCTCCATACAGAGAACTTCAGAGAGTCTGGCTGGTGTGAGGTGACTGTAGGACTGCCACATTCCTTCCAGACAATGCCTGGCAAAAGAGCCATTTTTATATGTCTATTATAACCTTGAACTAACAGTGAGCCACCTAAACAGCTAGAACAAAGGGAATTCAGACTCAACCACCTGAAACCATCAGACCTATTTCTAACTGTAGTCTACACAGTTACCACATAGTGACAGCAATGGGATTGATGGGTAGATATGGGCAGCAAAGCTTATAGACTAGTTTAATGTCCCAGGGTTAAAGCTGTAAGTAGAGACTGTAAGTCAGAGAGCACTGTTGTAGTTACTTTTGTCATTCCTGGGACTAAACACCTGACAACAAGCAACTTAGGGGAAGGGTTTGAGTTTAATTTCCTAGCAAGGGAAGCATGATGGCTGGGGCTCTGGCCTTGGCACAAGAGCTTGTAGCTGGTCACATAGCAGCCACAGACAGGAACCAGAGCCACAAGTCTGTCCCTTCTGAGTCACTTCTGCTAGCCAGGCCCCATCTCCTAAAGGCTCACAGCTCCCCCAAACAGTGCCACTGGCTGGAGATGTCACTTGGCTGCTTTGGAAGCTGTCATCCCAGTGGAAATCTTAAGACATGATTTCTTTTAAATTTTTAGCATTCCCTGCCCCAGTGTTAACTAAGTCAGAATCCCAAGCAGTGGGACCCTGACAGATAAGGTTTGTAAGTCCCCTAGAGATTTTAACCTAACTATGGGGCACCTTGAACCAGATGGTCTTTAAGGTTTGTTCGCTTGGAACTTCAACTCCTTTCTTATACCAGGTTTGTGTTAGTCCTGTGCCTATGAAGAGGTACAATGAATGTCTCTGTAACCTCATCCCATTCCAGTTGTGCCCTTGTCACAAATAGCTTCCTGAGAAACAGTGAAATTTAGGGGGGAAACACACCACCCTGTTTTTACCACATTTCCCGTGAACACAGCATTCTCACCTCGTGTAAACCATGTTCCAGAGAAAGCCGATGCCGCTACCTTTCCATAGAAATGCCCCCATGATGGCTGTGAAATACAGGAGGTGACAGACAGAGGAGAGGTACAGAGACACTACGGATTGAAATAGCCTGTGCTTTTCTTGGCCACTGTGGACCCACAGCCTCACCTGTGGTCTAACTCCTCTGGGCGGTCCAGATCCGCCAAAAGATGCTCTGAGTTGGGATGTTTGTCTGCACAGGTGCGAGGCGGGGCTGCTCGGGCAGTGTCATTTGGTGAGTCGGTGTGCTGGTCAACTAGACATACGTTTTTGTCTTCTTTCTGCCCAGCGTGTGAGCTATTAACGTGATGGGAACCCAGCTGAAACCTTGCTAGATTCCCATCTGTTTATACTCTTGCAAAATCAACTGTTAGGATCTGTGACAGAGGAACTGAAGGATATTGAGTGATAAAGGCATCAGGGTTACTGCTTGTTATGTCACAGACCAGCAGGGTGACAGGTGACAAATTCCAGGCAGGTCCCTCTCAGTCCTCTTTTCTGACTAGGCCTTATCCTAAGTGTGGTCTTCAACATGCCTGGCCCAGTGAGAACTAGGATCCTCTTGAACCTGCTTAGGGAGACTCGCCATATCTTTCACGTCCAACCACCATGGCTGCTTCCAACGTTTCCTCCTTTCTACCCCACCCAACCCTGATTCTCCTTGTGCTCCTACCCATCCTGGTCCTTGTTTGGGTTAAAACTAAGCCCCATATTTATTCCCTATTATGACCAACACTATATTTATAGTCTGAATAGTTTTGCTTACTATTATTAGAATGCTTTTCTTTTTAAATATCTTCTATGGCGTGAATATGATTGTCTGAAGTGTGATCCTAATTAGTCTTATCAATAACAAATCAGGAGTCAGATATCGGGGTGAAAACCTGGAAGATCAGACAACAGGGGACAGCTGCCAGTGGCTTCCAACACATCTTATTCCTCAGTCCAAAAGCCCCAGATCCAGTCTCTGCCCTACCTAATCACTTCCTCCCTCTGCCTCCCGAGTGCTGGGATTAAAGGCATGAGCCACCAATGCCTGGCTTGTGTTAGAGTTTAATCTGCATCATGAGGTTGTAAAGGGTGGAAGGAGTGAGGAGAAATAGAGAGGTGGAGGGACGCCAGGTAGCCACCAAAGGAGTAACAGGTCCGGGCATTCTCCAGTAAGACAAGGTCACATGAAAATACATAGATTAGGAGTTATGGGTTAATAATTAAGACAGAGTTAGCCAGTAAGTAGCCCTAGCCATCCGCCAATAGTTTTTTTTTTTTTTTTTAACTAATATAGCATCTGTGTGTTTATTTGGGGCTGAAGCGGCTGTGGGACCAGGTGGGAAAGAAACTCCAGCTACAGCAGCCAACTATGCCAACCAAGTCCTTTTCCCCATGGGTTCCTGGTGTGCAATGGTTACAAAGAGCAGTCTCCTTGGTAGCAAATGTAGCCTGTCGCCTATGTGAGTTGCCCTAAGGGACCTCGAAGATGATTTTATGGCAGTTATTCAAGTCTCTGATCTCATTGCTGTGCTCAGTCGAGGCTTCAGATGGGTATGTTTGGTGCCTTTGGGAAGCCCTGGTGCACAGTGGCCAGGGTTCACATTGGTCAGGTCATCATGACCATCTGCACCAAGCTGCAGAGTAAGGAAAATGTGATTGGGGCTCTGTGTAGAGCCAAGTTCAAGTTCCCTGACCACCCAAAGACCTGTCCCAAAGAAGTGGGGCTTCACCAAGTTATTAATACAGATGAATTAATACAGATGAATCTGAAGACACGGTTCTAGCTAGCAGTTCTTTCCTGCCAGGTCCCACAGCCACTTGAGCCCCAAATAAACACACAAAGACTTATATTAATTATTAAATTGTAGGCTGATGGTTAGGGCTTCTTATTGGCTAGCTCTGTCTTAAATATTAACCCATTTCTATGAATCTATGTATTTCCACGTAGTCTTGGCTTACCAGAGAATCCCTGGACCTGTTACTCCTTTGTGGTCTACACGGCATCTCCTTTTGGTGGGCTCCCTCTGCTTACCTTTCCTAGAATTCTCCTTGTCTCCTACCCCTGCCTATCTTCCTGCCTCTATTGGCCAAACATGTTTTATTCATCAACCAATAAGAGACACATATATACACAAGGACATGCCCCTAATGACATGGTTGCTGAGAAGTGATTTGTTCCTGATGGCTATGGCACCAAATATGTTTCCAATTCCAGTTCCCTGGATGAATGCTGGGCCCTGTACCCCTAAGGGCCTCCACAGTGTTCTACCATACCCCACAAAATCACATTCAGTAATAAATCTCACATCCAGTCTGGAAAAACAAAAACTCATATACATAAAATAAAATCAAATCCGAACTAAAAAAGTAAATAAAGAGAAGGAAGCTCACAAGGGGCATGCCATTTCTGACTCTTGCCATATGATGATGTCCCGTGGTGCCCTTGGACTCTGTCAGCAAGGCTGTTTGCCAGACATGACTCCTGCCTTTCAACTATAACTGTGAACCCAAACAAACCACTTGGTCTTATAATTTACCAGTACTGTGGCATTCATTATCAGTAATGGAAGATGGACAAAAGCAAGCAAAACGTAGCCACACAAATGGGTGCTGTCTATGGAAGATATGTACAGTATTGGCTTCTCAGGACACAGGTAAGCATGGGCTCTCGGATCCCTGGGCTTAGAAAATGTTTGGTGAAACTGAGTTTTCTTTCTTGTAATACTTACTAAATTCCTTAGAAGGCTAACGGGCCTGAGGTCTTTGGAATGGTGGAAATGGGCGCCATATTCTCCAGGATTGTCTGATGTCTTTCGTGGGGTCCTGGCTATCTGAAATTTAAAGTTACATGAAGCACCCTCACAGACATCAGACTGTTCCTCAGCTGGAGTGTCCAACAGTTTTACTAATCATCCACTCATAACACAGGGGTTAAAGATAATCCAGTTAACATCCTTCACCATATTAATAAAGAATATGAGTTCTCAGGGGGTCCTAGGAAGGCATCAGGGCAGGTAGATGGTGAGAGACCAACAAGAAATTAAAATTCAGAAGTCCACACTCATTGAGCCAAAGCCCTCTTAATATTTGATGATATCTGCATGGTTGCATCTCACTAGTTTGGTAGGGTGATGTGACAAAGTACAAGAGAACAGTTCACTTAAACAACAGAAACACACGCGCCTGCTCTCAAAGCTCTGGATGCCAGGTTTCCCGGCCGCCTATGTGGTTTGCAGAGAGCTACCCTCTTTCTCCCTGTGTCTGCATACCCTTGCCTCTTTATATGAGGATACCAAGTGTACCGGAGGAAGCCCACCCCAAGGACCATTTAACAAAATTGTCTTTGTTAAGACTCCATCTTCAAAGCCTCACTAGCCAATCAAAGACAGCGGGCTAACCCCACCAGTCACAAGTCTTGCAGGACACAGCAGAAGAGGCACCAGAGGATTGATTGCTGCACTGTGAGTGCTACTGTAGGGGATTGTGAAGAGAGCATGGATGAGCACAGAAGCCACAGCATGAATGCCAGGAAGTATGATGATTTTCATATTGACTTCACTTGGGAAGAGTGGACTTTGCTGGATACTTCTCAGAAGAATCTCTACCAAGACGTGATGCTAGAGACCTACAAGAATCTCAATGATATAGGATACATTTGGGAAGACCATACTATTGAAGAACATTGTGCAGGTTCTAAAAGAAATTTAAGGTTGTTTATATGGTGGATTAAATTGATGGATTTTCGTATGTTGAACAATCCCTGCACTGGTGGGATAAAGCCAACTTGATCATGGCGGATGCTTTCTCTGATGTGTTCTTGGATTTGATTTGCCAGTATTTTGTTGAATATTTTTGCATCGATGTTCATGAGGGATATTGGTCTGTAATTCTCTTTTTTACATTGTGTCTTTGTGTGACTTGGGGACCAAGGTAATTGTAGCTTCACAGATGTCCTTGCCAATGTCCCTTCTGCTGCTATTTTGTGTAACATTTTGAGGAGTACTGGTATTAGCTCTTCTTTGAATTTCTGATACAATTCTGCACTGAAACCATCTGGATCTGGGCTTTTTTTGGTTGGTAGACTTTTGATGACTGCTTCAATTTCATTAGAAGTTATAGGTCTGTTTAAATTGCTTATGTGTTCTTGATTTAATTTTGGTAACTGATATCTATCCAGAAAATTGTCCATTTCCTTCCTACTTTTGTCCTTTTCACTGTAGACTTGAAAGAGTCAACAGTAATAACCATCTAACAGAAGCAATATTTTGTCTAATCCATCAGCCCTTTACTCTTTTTTTTTTTTACTTAAAGTGTTTTAACTGCACACCAGAAGAGGGCACCAGATCTCATTACAGATGGTTGTGAGCCACCATGTAGTTGCTGGGAATTGAACTCAGGACCTCTGGAAGAGCAGTCCAGTGCTCTTAACCTCTGAGCCATCTCTCCAGCCCTGCCCTTTACTCTTAAAGTCGGCCTTACTCATTTTTTGGGACTGTAAAGATTAATAAAGATTTGTGGCCAAAATATTAAAAAAAAAAAAAAGACTCCATCTTCAAGCAAGGCACATTCTGATATGTAAGGGGTTTGGACTCTTACATACATTGCATTTTTGGTGATGGTGTTATGTGCAACACAGAGATTCATTTATAATTTTTTTTGTTTTATTTTTTTGAGACAGGGTTTGTAGCTTTGGAGCCTATCCTGGAACTTGCTCCGTAGACCAGGCTGGCTCTGCCTCCTGAGTGCTGAGATTACAGCTGCGCCTGGTTGGCTATCTGACTTTTAAAACATGGTCCCTAAGAAAGAGGGATTTCTGAAAGTGTCTTATGCTGGGAGAAGAAACAAGCTGAAGCCTGGTGCCAGCCAGAGGAGAAACTTGTTTCCCAGGAAGAGGTTCCATGCTGTCCTGACAGTTTGAAAGATCATCTTGCAGAGAGACTGGAGAGACAGTTAGAGATGTGATAACCAGCTCTACATATCTCTGACCTGCTATTTAAACCTGGTCTCAAACAAACAAAAAACCCAAAAAAATCCCCAAACTCTAGCTCCTTCTGTAGCACCATGTCTGCCTGCATGCTGCCTTGCTTCCCACTATGAGATTAATGAACTAAACCTCTGAACTGTGAGCCACCGCAATTAAATGTTTTCCTTTATAAGAGTTACTGTGGTCATGGTGTCTCCTCACAGCAATAGAAACCCTAACTAATACAATTGTATATGCCAATAAGAATTCTACACATGCTTCCTACTTTATTTTATATTCATTATTTTTAATTATTGAGACAGGGTCTCTCTCTCTCTTTCTCTCTCTCTCTCTCTCTCTCTCTCCATGTAGCTCTAGCTATGCTATCCTGATCTCACAGAGATCAGCCTGCCTAAGCCTCCGCAGTATCGGGATTAACGGCGTGGGCCACCATGCCCAGCTGCTTCCTACTTTAAAAATTATTATAATCAATTTTGTTTTTAGAACAGTAAGAGCCAGAACTTTTGAGTGGATTTTATTTCAGAGGTATGAGTGTTTTTTTTTTTTTTTCTTCTTCTTTTGATTAGTGTGTGAAAATCTTGTTGGAAGAGGGTCGGGACTACTTCAAGCTTAAGAAAACAATTTATTACAGAAAACTTGAAGGTGAATCAAAACCTAAAACTTAAGAACATTTTAAAAATTACATGTGCTGGGTTTGCATCTCTCAAATTTTATTTTACAAATGAAATTGTAAGGTGGTTTTTCTGAGATGGTGTTTGGATTTAGGGGTGTGGGAGGAGGACTAATAGGGTTGGATTTAAGATTATAACCGTTCTGAATGTAAACACATTTCATTTGTTTTCCTTGACATCCTTGTTAGGCGACCTTAGGAACACACATTTCTACAGGCAATTTTGTTTTTTCCAGTGGTGGTGAAGTTTCTGGACTCTGTCAGGGCGTCTTCCTTTCTCACTACCTTTCCCTCTTTGCATTCCTGTCTCACTGGTCAGTGGGGTGTGAAGGCCCTACACGCCTGGCTGTAACGCTTGAGTGTAGATTGTCTCATAGCTCTCTCTAACTAGCAAACAGCAGGCAGGAAGTTGACGGTGAGGTGTGTCAGCCTCAGGCAAGACTGTCTGTCAGGTTGTTCTTGTGTGAAACTGGTCAAAGCCAGAGCAAAGTTGAACACTGAAACAGTGGCTGGAGTAAGACATGGAGTACAGGAGGTGCAGACACAAATGAATTCCACGTCATGGCCAGGATCTTTGTCTTCATCTAATGTGGTGATTGTTGTAATAATCTTACTTAATTTTTTTTTCTAATGGCACTAGAAAATTGAGTAAGTAAAATACTTAGGATATCTTGCCAAGTTAAAGATTAAATTAGACAAAACAAATTTATAATAAAATTAGTGTTTTGGTGCCTGTTTAAGCAAACAAGTTATGTTTGGTTTACTAGAGCTCTCAGAGGCTGGAGATGTGGCTCTGTGGTGGAGTGCTTGCCTGGCATATACAAAGCATTGGGTTAGA